GATGCTCAACTTGTCTCTTCATAATTACCCAAAGGTGGTCCATTGGGTTCAGATCAGGAGACATACTTGGCCCCTGAATCACTTTCATCCTGTTCGTCTTCAGAAATGCAACAGTGGACTTAGATGTGTGTTTTGGATCATTGTCATGTTGGGAAAGTGCATGACGACCAAGGGCACGGAGTGATGGTAGCATCTTCTCTTTTAATACAGAGCAGTATATCTGTGAGATAATGATATCATCACTGAAATGGAGCTCCCCAACACCAGCAGCACTCATGCAGCCCCACAGAAGGACACTGCCACCACCATGTTTCACTGTGGGCACCATGCATTTTTTTTTGTACTTTTCACCTTTTCGACACCATACAGTTTTGAAGCCATCAGTTCCAAAAACATTGCACTCTGGAGTGATGAGACCAAGATAAGAGTCTCAGTAGTCTTCTTCTTTTTCAGCATAGGTCCTGGCAAATTCTAGGTAAGCTTTTTTGTGCATGGACTTTAGAAGAGGCTTCTTTCATGGCTGACAAACATGCATGTCATTCCTCTGCAGTGTACGCTGTATTGTCTCATGGGAAACAATCCTCCCAGTTTGGCTTTCTACTTCTTTAGCTAACTGCAGTGAACTTGCATGGCGATTTTCTTCAACCCTTCTCATCAAAAGACGCTCTGTCGAGGTGTTAACTTCCGTGGACAGCCTGGACGTCTCTATGAGATGGTTGCAGCTCCATCTTTGTTAAATTTTTGTATCACTTTTGCTACAGCATTCTGACTGATAAGTAAAGCTTTGCTGATCTTCCTGTACCCTTCCCCTTTCTTGTGTAAAGAAATTATTTTCTTTCTCAGACCTTTCTCTTCCATATGGTGCCATTGCTGATAGCATGAAATGGGAAGGGGTTTTCTTTGTTAAGTAACGCCCTTTTATAATCAATTCTCTGCTGGACACCTGTTTAGTGAATAATTAGACTCACCTGTAGTTGAATTCTTGTTGTCTAAATTTAGCTTTGCTCCTAAGACTTTCATTTGGGTGTATTCATTTTTGCAATATGGTCTTGAATGAATTTGTTAGGGAAAAGACTTTTTTGTTTGTGCAAGTTAACCCCTTGATCACATGCAAATATGCAGCCTATCGGCGTTTGGGCCTTGACGCCAAGCGGCCGCATATTTGCATGCAATTAGAAATTACATTTGTGCTGAGGTCCCTTTCTATTGGGACCTTTTCCGATCATGTGACGGCGAATCATGGTGGTCACATGACCCTTAAACCCCGCCCCTCCTGGCTTCTGAAACTCTTAAAGGGTCGGGAGGCAATCAATGGCCTCCATTTGTGGGAGTATTTTGTAGTATAGTGTCCCATAGAAAATGTTGATATTGAAAGGAGAGTAAAGGTTTTCTGACAAATATGTCAGGGTATACTCATTTATGCTGAGCACTGCAATATATATATATATATATATATATACACACACACACACCGGGTAAAATAACTATCGAACACATTACCATTTTTCTAGGTAAATATATTTCTAAAGGTGCTATTGACATGAAATTTTCACATTTCAGTAACAACCCATGCAATCCATACATAAAATAAACCAAAACAAATGAAGTTTAGAAATCCTTCTGTAACCAATGCCATCAGTATGTTTTGCAACAATAGGGTTGCAAAGGTCTTGAGAGAGCTCTTTGCTCTTACCCATAACAAGATGTTCCTTGTGTGACACCTTGGTAATGAGATACCTTTTTATAGGCCATCAGTTGAGACTGAGCCAGCTGATATTAATTTGCACTGATAAGGGGCAGGATTGCTTACTAATTACTGATAAATTTCAGCTGGTGTCTTGGCTTTCCATGCTTTTTTGCACCTCCCTTTCTTAATGTGTTCAATACCTTTTTCCCTGTGTCATACCATTTTATTACACATAACTTAATTTCTGAATATATATATATATATATATATACACACAAAGTTAGGTCCATATATATTTGGACACAGACACAATTTTAGTTTTCTTCAGGTATTTACCAAAACATATTCAAGCTATAGTTGTATAATGATTATGGGCTGCAAGTGCACACTCACAGGTTTAATTTGAGGGTAAGTAGTTCCAAAATGGAGGAAGGGTTTAGGAATTACAGCTCTTAGGAGTAGCCATCCCCCCTTTTTCAAGGTACCAAAAGTAATTGGACAATTGAATCAAAAGCTGTTTCATGGCCAGGTGTGGGCTACACCTTCGTTATTTCTTCATCAATTAGGTAAAAGGTCTGGAGTTGATTCTAAGTGTGGTATTTGCATTTGGAATATTTTGCTGTGAACCTACATAATGCGTTCAAAGAAGTGTTACATGCAAGTGAAACAGGCCATTGTAAGGCTTCAAAAATGAAACAAATCCATCAGAGAGAGATAGCAGTAACATTAAGAGTGGCCAAATCAACAGTTTGGAACATTCTGAGGAAAGAAGAGTGCACTGGTGAGCTCAACAACATAAAAAGGCATGGATGTCCACAGAAGACAACAGCGGTGGATGATCGCAGGATCCTCTCTATGGTAAAGAAAAACCCATTCACAACATCCAGACAAGTGAAGGACACTCTCCAGGAGGTGGGCATATCATTGTCAAAGTCTACAATCAAGAGAAGACTTCAGGAGAGCAAATACAGAAGGTTCAGCACAAGGTGCAAACCATTCATAAGCCTGAACAATAGAAAAGCAAGATTAGACTTTGCCAAAAAACATCTAAAAAACCAGACCAGTTCTGGAAAAGCATTCTTTGGATGGATGAAACTAAGATTAATCTGTGCCAGAATGACGGGAAAAAAAAACAGTGTGGAGAAGGCTTGGAACAGCTCATTATCCAAATCACACAAAGTCATCTGTAAAAACATGGTGGAGGTAGTGTGATGGCATGGGCATGCATGGCTTCCAGTGGCACTGGGTCATTGGTGTTTATTGATGATGTGACAGAAGACAGAAGCAGCTGGATGAATTCTGCAGTGGTTAGAGATATACTGTTAGCCCAGATTCAGCCAAATGCAGCAAAGTTGATTGGACGGCGCTTCAAAGTACAGATGGACAATGATCCAAAACACACTGCAAAAGCAACCCAGGAGCTTTTGAAGGGAAAGAAGTGGAATATTCTACAATGGCCAAGTCAATCACCTGATCTCAACCCAATTGAGCATGCATTTCACTTGCTGAAGGCAAAACAAAAGGCAGAAAGACCCACAAAGAACAACTGAAGACAGCTACAGTTAGAGCCTGGCAAAGCATCAGAAAGAGGGAAACCCAGTATTTGGTAATGTCCATTAGTTCCAAACTTCAGGCAGTCATTGCCAGTAAAGGATTCTCAACAAAATATTATAAATTAACATTTTATTTATGATTATATTCAATTCTCCAATTACTTTTGGTCCCTTGAAAAAGGGGGATGGCTAATCTTAAGAGCTGTAATTCCTAAACCCTTCCTCCAATTTGGATGTACGTACCCTCAAATTAAACTTGATAGTGTGCACTTTCAGCCCATATCCATTATATAATTATAGCTTGAATATGTTTTGGTAAATACCTGAAAAAAAAAAACTAAAAAATGTGTCTGTGTCCAAATATATATGGACCTAACTGTATGTGTGTGTGGCCTGGAAAGGAGAGCGGTAAAGCATGCTGGTATTGCATGGGGAAAAAAATCTATATTTTTTTGGCATTGACAAACATTTGTTTGAACCATTAATAATGTAAAACAATATTAGACGATATAAATAGTTAGAAGCATTAAAAAAATCAATGAATCTGACATCATCAAACATTCACTGCAGATTTGTCTTTTGGTGCATTTGTTTTAAATGGCATTGATTGATTCACCCCCAGTGAACGTCTGGTGAAAGTCACATTTAAGGACTTACAAATAGTATGCATTAAATGTAACTTAAAAAAATAAAGTTGATCAGGTTTTTCAAGGTACAAATATCTAAAGTCTTTGACTCCATAGGAAGAGTTTGTATTTATGATGTACCGGACTGCAGTAGTTAGCAAGGAACCTATTCATGCAAAGGATGCCAAGCGTGCCTTTTTTCATGACTGTATTCCGCTCCCTTTAAAGCAGACCTTTCCCTCCTGTCCCCAAATTTCAGATAAGCATGGATCTTTACATGCTGATGTAAAATCACCTAACACTGTTATAAAATGTTTTTCTGCTTTACTTACTATTTTTCGATTCCACTTTCTGGTTCCAGGCAGTGGTAATGCAACCATTGCACACAGATGCTCCATTGGAAGGCAAAATCACCATTGCCTCAAAAGGAAATTACGTACATAATTGCAAGATCTTGCAGTAGTGTCATACAGCGCATGCACAAGATAAAGCACACATCATGCTCCTCTTTTTGCGCATGCCCCGTATGAAATTACATTCATCTGCTAGGGAAAAATATATATTTTAGTGAGATCTCATGAGAATTTTTCCTCCCCAACAGATGCAAGTGGTGTCATATGGCGCATGTGCGAGATAAAGCCTGATGTCATGTGTTTTCATCTCACGCATACACAGTATTATGGATATTTTCAACATTGTGACATGAGAATAGGAACCCAGGCAGCATGGAGGCAGGACAAATATAGGGAAATATGAAGAAAAAGTCACAAGGATATAGAGAAGTATGAATGTTTATTTCCTCCTATTCAATATTGGAAGGTTTATAGAAAGGGGTGGGGGGAGTCCTCTTTAAAGCATCCCCCTTATGTCTAATGGGTTCAGCCAATATTGGGCATTACTGTACTTCAAGAAAAATTGTTTATGGCTGAAAGCATACTAATACCGATCAACCTACTACAAGCAATAAGCAGCAAAGTATGTATTTTTTTATTTTTTTAAATCTATAAAAAATGGCAGTGCTTCCTTAACAAATTCAGTATATATACTATATTATAAAAAGTGTGACTATGACAGAATCCTAGAAACAAGAAGTAAAAACAATTTTAACTTATCTTACCATTTTTGTCCTCTTACCTGCTGCAGGTTTTCATAATTATGATTTAAATCATTCAGTTGCTTTTCAAACATCTCAGTAACTGCGTGATACAGGAAATCATACTGTTCCTGCAGGAAGAATGTGCATTAAGGACCAAAACACACTGACATTGCAGACAAGGCTGTGACAGTAAACAAACTGCAACATACAAAGAGCTTTAGGTATAATTGACTAGTGAACTGCTAGTGCTACTGAGTAATCACTGCAAGGGCACTGATATCATAAAATTTGCTTTATTTTGGAGTTTACCATAATTCCTTGTGGCCACATTCAGCAGCCTTTTCACAGAGCTTTACACGTGATTCCTTTATTGAGAAATACAAGGGAGCCCTGGAAACTAGGAAGCACAGCGGCTTTGATTTTGGTCCATTCCGAAAATAAGGGTAACAGTAGACACAGGGATTAGGCAAGCAGTGCTGTCAGGTATGTAGATGATTTTAATTATACATTTTTTAATCTTTTATTTGTGCACTACACCCTACAGCAATGACATAACAACAAAAGATCAATAAGATATAGGAAAAATAAAACTGGAGGTATGATTGAGCATGCAATGCATTAAACAGAAGATATGAAAACATGATCAGTCTTATACAGCACAGATTAATATGGTATGTAGTACTGCATGGCTCTATAGATGAGGATCTCTTTGCACCATGGCATAAAGGTATTATAATTAGAAAGCAGGGCGGACTGACCATTTGGATACTCGGGCACTGCCCGAGGGCCCGGGGTCAGTAGGGGGCCCCATGAGATGCCCCGGTACCTTTTTCATAGGCTTTTTTGAGTTTGGGCAAGGACACAGGGGCCCCATGATCCCCTATTGCCGGGGGCCCCATGAGTTGTCCGTTCCGCCCCTCTTAGAAAGTGTAGATGAATGTTGTGGTGAAAAAAAAATCTAATAACAGGTAAACTGCATCCCCTGAATCAGTCTAAAGCATGCCTGTGCTTTGCCCATGTAAGTGAAACCAATTAGGTCACTATGCTTTTGGCCCCTGCAGCTGCACATGCTCACTTTCATTTTGCTCTTTGTTGATTGATCTGTCCTCTGGGATCAAAGAGGAATACCCTGTACTTCCAGGTAGGTGGGAGTGCATGTACTCCAACCTCCCACATGACAGTTCAGGTTAAAGCGAATGTTATAATGGTTTTGCATGCATTTCATTTATCTGACTTAAATAATTTTTTAAGTCAGTATTTTAACCTCTCAACAGACTAAACTCTCTTTTCCAGATTAACCTTATGCACTTTGCACAAGAATGCCTGTTGTTTACAAAACTCAATAGCTCATGCTCTGATTTATACACATTGGAGCCGAATGACTAAAATGTGTTCAAACAGCTACCTGTGGAGTTTTAACCAGACAGACAGAAACAGAGAAAAGGAGCCTGAATGTAAACAGTTTCTGCTTTGCTCCCTCTTTGGAGAATGCATAGTGCTCTGGAAATCCTGTGTTTTGGCTGCACCCTGTAATAAATGTTTATTTGTAAAACAAAGATGTTATAATAATGCTGAAAATATAAAGATACTGGACATGTTTAAAACGTGTGTGTGTGTGGGGAGGTATGGGGATGTAGTCAATTATAAACGGATAGCATCTAGAGGTGAACATACCTTCAATAGCGCCAAAACTTCAATGCTTTAGTTTTTCAAAGCATTTATATGGAAGAGGTAAAAAAAAGATAAAGATTAAAAAAGCACAGCTATTTGATGAGAATCGTGAATAAACTCTTTTGTCTGAATAAATCATCATACTTTTGTCTGTATAATAAAGCGGACGGTCTTTGGCGCCTCATCTAGTGTACTTTGATCACAACTTCAAATACATATAGCTATTGGATATTCAGGGTCACTTGGCACCTTCTATAATAAAGATAAACATAAGATTTCAGATCTTATGATTTCAGATCTTATTCAGGCAGAAAACATTCATAAAATTATAAATACATAAAAAATCATTACAGGTACTAAGTGTGCTTTTTAGAAAAAAAATAAATAGTAAATGCACATACATATATTTGTAAGTAAAAAATGTGCATGTTTTTTTTTCCATGCAAGAGACTGCAAAGCTTTACACTCATGATCAGCGAATCACTGATGCAGTCCCAGGCCTCTGCAAACTCTTCCTCCAGCTCTATGTCCATGCTGAAGAACAGGCTTTCAACTGGAGAAATGGAGGAAGTGTCAATTGACTATGAATTCAGCTATTACAGCATTTGTGTTTCATTGAGAAGCTCAAGTTCTGTTACAGTGGCAAATGGGACTTGTAGTTCATTCATTCACAGATCTCTGTAAATGAATAACATGGCTGTGAAGCAGAACTCCACACAGGCTCGCCGATTTTAAAAGTGATAGCTGTTGCGTGGGAAATGTAAAAAATGAAATCTTCTGCTGTTACTACTGATCTGATCATTCTTCACATCAGGGTGATTGGATTCCAGGTCACTGCACAACGTTATCTTAGTAAAGGTGCACACCTTCTAGAGTTCTTTCTGCTATCTCTAGGACTACCTACTGCACTTGTCATATTAAGAAGCCATGTAAAATTTTGATCGTAGTCCTCTATTTGACACCATAGCAATAACTAATATAACATCCTTATAGTGTATTTATTGTACATTCTGACATCAACATGTGCCATTTTAATAATCGTTCATGATGTGGAAGCACGTTTTTAAACCTAGCAGGAAAACTCTATAGCGGATGTATCACTTTGTATACTGTTCCTTATTGCTGTGCATGTTTGACCACTTGTTTCTTCCTACCTACTAAATGACCTCTTTAAGGTTGCTTTCACATCGACGAGTTTTTCAAGTGTATTTGCGTTAACAAAAGCACCTGAAAAGCTCAAAAAAACTGCTTCCCTATGTATGTGAATGTATATCTATGTATGTTTTCACACTGAGGCATTGTGGTTGTGGTGCAGTGTAAAAAATCCTGCTTGCAGCATGCTTGGGGAGTTAAAAAAAACGCCCCAAAAATGCCTCTTCCCATTGAAATCAATGGAAAACACCTGAAAAACGCCTCTGAAAAGTGTTTTTGGTGCAGTTTTTTAAGTCACGTGTCCTTTAAAAACGCTCAGTGTGTTTTTGCTGTGTCTTTGCAGCAGAGCAGTGTGAAATTAGCCTAAAAGAATCTATGCTTTTGTCTTGTCATCTGTTTTTTTTTGTAAAAGGACAAAACTTCTCACCCTCTTTCCCCCCCTTTACCCTTTACATTTATTTTTTGTTATTTATTTGCATTGGTAACTCATGGGTTCGCCCTGTGTATTTTACCCTTACCGACTGCATTGCAAGCTTTCTATAGCAGCTAGTTTTGTGAGAGAGCACAGAATTGGTTGCTGTTTATTGTGCCTGATCTGGATGAAATGAAGGACTTGTGTCATATTGTGTTTTTTATCAACACTGTTTTCTATTTTTCCTTGAATAAATACAAAGTGAAAGAAAAGGACAAAACTTTACAATAAAATGTGTCTGATTAAAAAGATTCTAATAAAATGGTTGTGTAGTTCTTGCAGCTCATAACGGAACTCCTGCAATAAGTCAAAGTTCTATAGAAGTGAGCTAACAACTACTACTGTGTATCACAATGAGATTTCACAACTGTCCCACAAACAATTTGCATACTGTTCTGTATCACATGCACCTGCAATTTGCTATGTAAGGCTGGCCATACACTATACAATTTTCTGTCCAATTTCTGCCCAATTTCCTTTAGATTTATCTTAAACTATGTAGTACAAGAGCCTGCCTAATTGGATACAATTGAAAGTGTTGTTTAGGTTTGACCTCATATTATATGGTTTTTGGTAATCTAAAGCAATTTTCTAAAGATAATTGTATAATGTAGGGCCAGCCTAAGTCTGACTCATTACAGGCCATTGAAGCTAGCTTTCCAAATGGCCATTACCCCACCCATCAACTTTGCCTGCAACACACTATTTATTTTTAGAAAACCCTTTGCTGCCCTCTATCTGAACAGTGAGATTAGTGCAGTGTGCATAGGTCACCTGTTTGTATAGTAAACATTGGATGTACTCCACTGTACAGATCACCCCGGTCCGTCCACATCCTGCACTGTGCGGGAGACACAAACATGTATTATACTCAATAACCATACAATGTGCAGAAAACACCAAACTAAAACCTTGCAATTTCTATCAGTAGCAATATTTTGTAGTGGCATTTGGGGATTTATTTGGGGAATTAAAGAGGGAAAGGGGGAGGGGGGTGTTCTCAGAGGTTGCCATTTTAGCTATGAGAAATTCATAGTTAGACTAAACAAAGAGTTTGTTCAAGGTGGAGAGCCAAGTTCAAGATACTAAAGGTGGTGAAGGCACAAGGTCTTCTGTGGGAGGAGGGAGTAATTGAGCCATGGTTGCCAAATAGATTGAAATTTGTCATGGGAATCTTCCAGCATGGCAGGTCATTTTTCATTAATAACTGTGCCCTGTATATAACTCTTTGCTTCCAGGAAATTGAGAGATGGAGTTTCACTGCCTGGGCGATGGTTTGTATGGTAGTTGTGAAAAAGTGTGATAAAAGGGGTATTATCAATAGGTTTATGGAGGAGGGCCTCCCAAGGGTCTATTTTGCCTTTCCTTTTGGGGGAACAGTCTGTCTTTAAGAGACCCTATCACCACATACTACACAGACAACTAAACACACAAGCAGATAATCTGTATTAGATATACTTCCAGAAGCCCTACTTTTGGGAGTAGGAGTCACTTTCCAGAAGCCCTACTTTTGGGAGTAGGAGTCACTTTCAGAAGCCCTGCTTTTGGGAGGAGTCACTTTCCAGAAGCCCTACCTTTGGGAGTAGGAGTCACTTTCCAGAAGCCCTGCTTTTGGGAGTAGGAGTCACTTTCTAGAAGCCCTACTTTTGGGAGTAGGAGTCACTTTCAGAAGCCCTGCTTTTGGGAGTAGGAGTCACTTTCCAGAAGCCCTACTTTAGGGAGTAGGAGTCACTTTCCAGAAGCCCTACTTTTGGGAGTAGGAGTCCCTTTCAGTGACAATCTTATGAGATTGTCTTTACTTCTATCAAAGGCACACTAATGATGTAGGTGTGTGTCTGTGCAGCCTGGAAGCATTTTGTTTGGATTTCTGGTTCTGTAAGTACACATAATACAGTATCCTTGCCTGTGCTCAGTTCTGAATGTAATATGTGGTGACAGGGTATATTAAATGTATGGCTGAGCCTCATTAAAAGAAAAAACAAGCATGGTCGGGTCTATGCAAGGCTACGGATATTCATTCCGCTTTCAACTGCAAAGCCCCTTGAATTCTAAAGTTAACTCAAGTTGTTGCTTACACAGGGCTAGGAGCTCCCCATTTGACAACAATAGACCCAGCACTGTCACATAAACTAAGTCGCATGCTTCCTCAAACGCAAAGTACCAGGTAATTCTTTCAGCTCTCTGCACTGGATGGAGCAGTAGAGGAGTGAAGTAAAGATAAGTATGTTCTACTTTGGGTGGGGGATTAAAGCAAATCTGTTGCTTTGCCAAGCATTAGAAATAGCTCCTAACTTTTTTTTTTTTTTCCTGAAGAAAGCTCAGATTCAGAGCTGGGTGGCCTCCCTGTGAACTGCATAATCTCATGTCAATAACAAAATATCTTCCCAAGTGTACATAATATTATGAAAGAAAAGAAACTGTAGTTAGGACTAAGCTGCTTATATAATTTTAGTAGCTCAGCTGTGTTTCTAAAAATGCCTGAAATTAACTAGTAAGAGCAGCAATCAGTCCTTTACTGATGAAATACAGGCGTACCTCGGTTTACGAACGCCTCGGTTAACATAATTTTCGGTTTACGAATGAAAATCCATTGAAAATAATGGCTCGGTTTATGAATTTTTTCGCAATATGAACGGATTAATTGGTTTTCAATGAATTTACAATTTGTTTTTTTAAACATGTCCCTGTACAGTATTTATGCCTTTAAATTGCACTTTATAAAGAGTTTTGAACAGATAAAAGACTTTTTTCTTACTTTTTTCTGACCTCCAGAACGGATTAATTAGTTTTCAATGCATTCCTATGGGAAACTGCGTTTCGGTTTACGAATTTTTTGCAATACTAAAAGTCCCGCAGAACACATTAAATTTGTAAACCGAGGTACGCCTGTAATCTATTTATGAGTTAAGCTACACAGTAGTAGTATGTTGTAGCAGATAGTAGCAACTAGTTGTGCATGATCACACAATGCTCCAGTAGACCCAATTTATCCCTATTACATACTATTGTATAGCTTACATCCAAAAGGAAACCTTTGCTCCATCAGTAAGTGATACACAACTGCCACATTCAGTGCCATATTTTAGCTATTAAAATGGCCTGTGTAAAGGGAAATCAAATAATAAGAAGCCTCTGTTCTTTTCTTTCCAGGTCAGTTCAATCCCATTTCTTTTTTGATTGCATTTCTCGCATGATTCTTCTATTGCTGAATAGAAATTGGTTTGTTTTTCAAAATCTTTCAAACACGCCCGATCACTCAAATTCGATGGTCACTCGAAAATGGGTCATTGCTGTGGCTCACTAATGGTGCGAAATTCAAACGAAAATTCTTAGAAAAGATTTTTAAAAGAAATTTCTTTCAGAATTCAACCCAGGTATGGCCGGCTTTAGAAACTGTTAGGCAACATGTGGGATTAACATAAATCCAATCAGTTGCAATCAGTTGGCAGGGGTGTTGGGGAGTAATGACAACAGTAAAATTAATATAAATAATGAAGTAAAAAATCTAAAAAGGTAAATTCATAATTTAACTTTTCATGTTTAAAATTAAATTTTACAACTACAGCTAATTAGATAATTTTAGTAAATTCGCTGTGCTCCTAAAAGTGTCCGCAATTAACAGGTAACTGGTAATAGCAGCAATCACTCACTCACTGATGGAACACATGGAGTAAGCTAAACAACAGTAGTATGTACAGTAGTAACAATTATTTGTAATTTTATAGTTTCATAAAAGCTTTTACAGGGAACGATTGTTAAAGTAACTAAAAAGTGTTATAGCTAAATACTGTAATCCTTTAATATTCCCAATCCTGACTGGTTTTCTTTAAGGTGAGAACAAATATTTGCCCTAGGTCCCACATTTTACAATGATTGCAGCTGCTCCAGAATTGCACTCACCTGCAGTGTACACAAATCGGGGTACTGTTCTGTCCTTGATGTTGACGCACTAGTCTGATCATCTCAAGGAAGCAGGAGTAAGAGTCTGGAATCCCACGATCGGGCCACGCGATATACTGGAAGTGACCAACTTCCCGGGCTTCCTACAAAGTACAGAGAGCAGCAGTCTGAGAATATGACTTTTCATCAATACAAAGCAAATTAGAGACCTATTTAAATCGGAAGGTATTTGCATCCAAGTTCCCACACAAATCCCCAAATAACTGGTTTATTTCTCATCTTTAGAATAGAAAGTATGGCAATTCCTTTATGCCTCTGGACCAACTTTGCATCCTGAACTGCCATTTACATTTCAGATACAGCCTAATATTATACAGTCATTTATTCCAAACTGCATAGAGCTGTTTTAGGTACGATGGCAATCATAGCACAGTGCTTAGAAACAATGCAATTAGGCATAAAATATGACAATGAAAATTTTTTGCAAGCAAACCACAAAACATACCATACACAATTTCATCCTGTCATTTACCTAACTTAATGTGACTGGTATCTTCATTTACTGAATGACATTCAATCTAATGCTGGCCTTCAACCTATAGAGGGCTGAACGACATAAATCTAACAATAGCCTCCATCAAAGCTAATCAGTGTGGATGGCCAAATCTTTCGTCTGATTGGAAGCAGAGAATCTTCGGCCAACAATTTTCTGTCCAGGTTTAAAAACAGAAGGCTGTTGGACAGGGTAGTGCGGACAAGGTCACCCACTGGTCAGTGTGTATGGCCAGCTTAAAGTGGTTGTAAACTCTGTATTTTTAATAATAATAAAGCTTATCTGTAGGTAAAATTAACCACTTGAGCTCCAGAGGATTTACCCCCCTTAATGACCAGGCCTCTTTTTGCTACTCGGCGCTGCACTAATTCAACTGATAATTGCGCGGTCATGCAATGCTGCACCCAAACGAAATTTACGTCCTTTTTTTCACACAAATAGAGCTTTCTTTCGGTGGTATTTGATCATCTGTGCGCTTTTTATTTTTCACGCTATAAACAAAAAAAGGCCAAAAATTTTGAAGAAAAACAATATTTTTTACTTTCAGCTATAAAAAATATATAGTAAACTCAAAGTTGGTTATAAATTTAGGCCAAAATGTTGGTTGTTTTTGGTATAAATTTAGGCCAAAAACTGTATTCTGCTACATGTTTTTGGTAAAAAAAATCCCAATAAGTGTATATTGATTTTTTTGTGTGGAAGTTGCGGTAGCGTCTACAAACTATTTTGGAAAAATGCAAAAAAAAAATCAAAAATTTAGTCATAAATTTCTGCCAAAATGCATTCTGCGACATGTCTTTGCTAAAAAAAAAAACCCAATGCGTGTAAATTAATTGGTTTACGTGAAAGTTATAGCGTTTACAAATGGCGGGAAAGATACTGGGATTTTGTTTTTTTTTTATATACTAATAATGGCGGCGATCAGTGACTTATGGCAGCGACCAGCGACTTATGGCGGGACTGCGGCGGACATTCTGACATTGGGGGGTACTGACTTGGGGTCACTGACATCCCCAAAAACACTAATACAGTGATAAGTGCAAAAAAAAAAAAAAAACACTGACACTGTACTTGTTAGGATCCGCCAGGTGGTGCCTCAGGCTGCCAACTGACAGACCTACCCAGAGCGTGGGGTCTAAGTCCGGGCTGTGCTTTCACCAGGGCCTCTGATGGTGGGGATGGACTTGAAACAGTCCCGGACCAGGTCACGACCTCTGAGCAGGCCCACCAGTGGCTGAGGAGACCTCCGGGGACGTATGCAGGTACCGGAGAGCCAGATGTGAGCGGATGGCGGCCCCAGCAGGGTAGTAACGGATCGTGGTCCCGTGGGGGTAAGCGAGGTACAGAATCGGCGGGCAAAGAGTAGTCGGGTCACACGCAGGGTCAGCAGGGTAAGTTAGTCCGTAGAATGGTCAGGGCAATCCGGGTCAATCACAGGAGCAGGCAGAGTAGTCAGGGCAATCCGGGTCAATCACAGGAGCAGGCAGCGTAGTCAGGGCAATCCGGGTCAATCACAGGGGCAGGCAGCGTAGTCAGGGTCAAACAGGGTCACTAGACAGGTGCAGGAACTCGGGAACATAGGAAGACCTTGCGGCAATTGCTGACAGTGCAGGGCATCTTTAAATAGTGCGCCCTGCACTGTCATTGGCCGCCCAGGACGCGCCCCCGGGCTGTCATTGGCCGCCCGAGGCGCGCCCACGGCTTCCACTGCGCGCATGCGCGGCGTCCTGTCATCTCCGGCTCGCCGGGACCTGGTGCCTGTGTCCCAGCGTGAGCCGTTGCCAGCACGCATGCGCCGGCCGACGGGACGCCGCGATCCCTGACATTGCCCCCCCCCCTACGGGCACCCTCCGGGAGCCCCACTGATCTCTCCACCGCGGGCGGCCACGAAAGAATTCCCGGATGAGCCTGGGGGTGTGAACATTCTGGATGGGTTCCCAAGAGTTCTCCTCAGGGCCATAACCCTTCCATTTAATCAGGAACTGCGTCTGGCCCCCCCTCTTTCGACAACTGAGGATAGTCTCCACTTCATATTCCTCCTGGTCACCTATGGCGACTGCCTCGGGAGGTCTGGATTCACGGTCCGGGAAGGGGTCCGGTCTGGATGGCTTCAGGAGAGACACATGGAACACAGGATGTACCTTGAAGGTTCGCGGAAGCTCGAGTTCGTAGGTCACCTTGTTGACTACTCGTTTTACCGGAAATGGGCCGATGTACTTGGGTCCCAGCTTCCTTGAAGGGCACAGCATCTTCAAGTTGGTCGTTGCCAGCCAGACCTGATCCCCTGGTTGAAGCAGTAACTCTCCTCTTCTTTTCCTGTCGAACGCCCTTTTACTGTCCTCTTGGGCTTTAGCGATGGCTTCCTGAAGCGTCTTGTTATTGACAGAAAAGAAGGTCAAGATGTCTTGAGACACCGGTACCGGATTTTCAGGAATCAGATCAGGGAGGAATGTGGGATGATACCCGTAATTGGAAAAGAACGGGGATTGACCCGTAGCTGAGTGATTCGAGTTGTTGTACGAGAATTCTGCGGAAGGCAACAACGTCAGCCAGTCATCCTGAAGGTAGGATGTGTAGCATCGTAAGTACTGTTCCAGCGTTTGGTGGTCCTCTCGGTTTGGCCGTTGGTCTGTGGATGGTAGGCGGATGAAAGCGACAGCTTGATTCCCAGCGCTTTACACAAGGCGTTCCAGAACCTGGAGGTGAATTGGACTCCCCGATCCGACACTATATCTTCGGGAACCCCATGAAGCCTCACTACTTCCTTAATGAAGATCCGTGCCGTTTCTGGTGCTGATGGGGTCTTCTCCAGGGGTACAAAATGTGCCATCTTTGAGAAGCGGTCGACGATCACCATTATTGCCGTGTAGCCTTGGGATGGTGGGAGTTCGACCACAAAATCTATGGCAATCATCTGCCAAGCCCGTTTGGGTATAGGTAAAGGACGTAACAATCCCCATGCTCTACTCCTGGAGGGCTTGTTCCTTTGACAGGTGGGACAGGTCTGGACGTAACGCTCGCAATCCTGGATCATATCCGGCCACCAGAACGAGCGGCGTAGTAGTTCCAGAGTTTTCGTAACCCCGAAAGTGACCCGCCATTGGATGGTCGTGGCAGTGCCCTAGGACCAAGGTTCGCACTTCTTCCGGGACCATGATCCGGTCTTCCTTCCAAAATAGCCCACCGTGGTTCTGGAGGGGCGACCCAGACGGAACTGGTAGTCCTACAGAAGCGTCGAGAAGTCGGGAGCGAAGCTCCGTTTGTAGAGCGAGGAAGCTTCCGGAAGGTAAGATGGTGTCAGGTACCACTGCGTCATCGGGGTCCTCAAACATGCGGGACAGAGCGTCTGGTTTTGTATTCTTAGTACCGGGTCGGTACGTTATATGGAATGTAAATCGCGAAAAGAAAAGAGCCCATCTTGCCTGGCGAGGTCTCAGTCGTTTTGCCGTTCTAAAATATTCAAGGTTTTTGTGATCTGTGAATATTAGGATTGGGTGTGTGGCTCCTTCCAGTAAATACCTCCATTCTTCTAGAGCAGATTTAATGGCCAGGAGCTCCCGATCTCCAATGTCATAGTTACGTTCCGCCGGTGTCAACTTCCTGGAGAAGAACGCCACAGGGTGCAGTAGTTCCTTGGTACCATTCCTTTGGGATAGCACCGCTCCTACCGCGTTTTCGGAGGCGTCCACTTCCAAAACATACGGGAGAGAAGAACCCGGATGGCAGAGAATGGGAGCTGAGGTGAACAATTTCTTGAGCTTTTCGAATGCCGTTTGAGCTTCGGGGGTCCACTTAAAGCAGACCCCTTGTTTCGTCAGTTGCGTGATGGGGGAGACCAGACCAGAGAAGTTCCTAACAAACTTTCTATAAAAGTTAGAAAAGCCGATGAAACGCTGTACCCCCTTTTTGTCGGCGGGAATTGGCCAATCTAAGATCGCCGTGACTTTCTGGGGATCCATCGCGACCCCCGCGGAAGAGAGAACCAGTCCCAAGAACGTGATTTCGCGCTGTTCGAAACAGCACTTTTCTGCCTTAGCGTATAGCCCGTGTTGACGCAGCCGTTCTAATACCCGTGACACGTGACCTCGATGAACCTCCAGTGAGGGGGAAAAAATTAGGATGTCATCCAAATAAACCACCACGAAAACATCGAGGAAATCACGAAAAACATCGTTGATAAAGTGCTGGAAGGTTGCCGGTGCGTTACAGAGCCCAAATGGCATCACCAGATACTCATAGTGGCCGAATCTCGTGCGGAAAGCCGTCTTCCACTCATCCCCCTCCCTGATACGAACAAGGTTATAGGCCCCCCGCAGGTCTAATTTAGTAAATATCATTGCTGAACTCAATCTCTGGAGGAGCTCGGGGACTAGGGGTAAGGGATAACGATTCTTTACCGTTATTTTGTTCAGATCACGGTAGTCTATGCAGGGCCGTAATGACTTGTCCTTCTTCTCTACGAAGAACAGCCCGGCCCCGGCTGGGGATGTGGATGGACGAATAAATCCCTTCCGAAGGTTTTCGTCAATGTATTCCCTTAGTACTCCTGATTCCGTTTCAGACAAAGGAAATATACGGCCGAACGAGATCTCAGACCCGGGTAGGAGGTCTATGGGGCAATCGTAGGAACGGTGCGGAGGAAGAATGTCAGCTCCTTGCTTACTGAACACGTCTAAGAAGTCATGGTAGGCCGGAGGAATAACCTGGGATAGATTGGTGTCGCCATCCAAGCACAGGAGGAACCGGGGAACCACGGATCCTGTGACGTGGCAGTGACTCAAACAGTAAGGTGACCGAAATTGAATGGTTCCCTTTTCCCAGTCAATCTGGGGGTTATGGGCCCGCAGCCAAGGGAGCCCCAGAATGACTGGAAAAAGGGGAGATGCGATGGCATCCAAACGGAGCAACTCCTGGTGATGGTCTGCCATTGTGGTGAAAATGGGTGGTGTCTCCTGGTCCACCACCCTGATTTTATACTGGACCCATCTGCCAAGAAGATGTTGAACCCCCTTTCTTTGGTCTGGAGAGGGATTTTTTGCCGGTGGGCAAAAGTCAGATCGATAAAACAACTACAGGCTCCTGAGTCAACGATTGCGGTCACTGACAATGTTCCTCCGGGGAGCTGTAAAGACACAGGTATGGCCAGGTAACTTGACTGAACATCCCTTCCTGCAGGTAAAGTAAAAGAAAAAGACGTGGACTTACTCATTTTTGCAGGACAGGAGCGCACCTGGTGACCAGCTTCCCCGCAGTACAGACATAGGTTCTGTGACCGTCTCCTCTGACGTTCCTCGACCGATAAGTGGGAACGGGCCAGTCCCAGTTGCATCGGTTCCGGGTTGTCCCCTGATTCCGTGCTTCGCAGATGGCTCCCTGGGCCTGGAGCTGTGTCCCTTGGTGGAATCCATGCCACCCTTTGACCCTGGCTGCTCCTTTCCAGCCGACGTTCCCTTAGTCTTCGGTCAATTTGAATGGCTAACTCAATCAGTTTTTCCAGGGAGTCAGGTAGGCCTACTCGTGCCAGTTCGTCTTTGAGAGACTCAGATAGCCCGATGCGGAACTGGTGACATAAGGCCGCATCGTTCCATCTGGTGTCTCCCATGCAACGCCGAAAATCGGACGCGTATTCTTCGGCTGTCCGGCGGCCTTGCCGTAGAGAGTATAGGGTAGCCTCTGCGGAAGCAGCTCGCTGAGGGTCGTCATACAAAACAGCCATGGCCTGAAAGAACTCGGTCACAGAGTCAAGATGGGGGTCGTGCTTCTCCATCAGGTGGTGAGCCCAATCCTGGGGCTCATCCTGAAGGAGAGAGACTATAAACCCCACCTTGACGGTCTCGGTGGTGAACGTGCGGGGCTGCAGGTCGAAATACAGGGTGCAAGCGTTCCGGAAGGCTCGGAAGCGGCTCCGGTCACCACGGAATCGCTCCCGGCAGGGGAACACGGGGTTCAGGAGCTAGGGATGTGGCAACCGCTCCGGATGCGGGGGCAGCAGGAGGTTCTGCAGATGGAGGACTCTGAGCAGGGGGAGTCAGGGGGGCTAACGACTCCATGCGGTCCTCCAGTCGGGTGCAGCGACTGTGGAAATTCTGGAAAGCCTGGGTCAAAGTTGCCAGGTGCTGGCAAATATCCTCTAGGGACGCCGGTCCACTTCCTGGCTCTCTCATGGCCGCAAGGTACTGTTAGGATCCGCCAGGTGGTGCCTCAGGCTGCCAACTGACAGACCTACCCAGAGCGTGGGGTCTAAGCCCGGGCTGTGCTTTCACCAGGGCCTCTGATGGTGGGGATGGACTTGAAACAGTCCCGGACCAGGTCACAACCTCTGAGCAGGCCCACCAGTGGCTGAGGAGACCTCCGGGGACGTATGCAGGTACCGGAGAGCCAGATGTGAAGCGGATGGCGGCCCCAGCAGGGTAGTAACGGATCGTGGTCCCGTGGGGGTAAGCGAGGTACAGAATCGGCGGGCAAAGAGTAGTCGGGTCACACGCAGGGTCAGCAGGGTAAGTTAGTCCGTAGAATGGTCAGGGCAATCCGGGTCAATCACAGGAGCAGGCAGAGTAGTCAGGGCAATCCGGGTCAATCACAGGAGCAGGCAGCGTAGTCAGGGCAATCCGGGTCAATCACAGGGGCAGGCCGCGATCCCTGACAGAACTAATGGCACTGGGGAGGAAGGGGTTAACTTTATTTTGCAGGGAAGGGTTATCTGTGTGAGGGGGAGTGTTTTTTACTAGGGGGCGGGGGGTGTGTGCTGCACGGGACACCGCTGATTGAGAGTGTGAAACTCTTCTTTCTCGATCAGCTCGTCCTCGAGCTGTCAGGGAAGTGATAGACAGCACAGCTACTGCAGCTGTGCTGTCTGTCACTGTTTGCCGCCGATCGCCAGGAAACAGCCGGTAAGGACCGGCTGTGACCCGGCGACTGACATCTGCGGCGGTGATCGGCGGACAGATAGGGAGGCGGGTGCGCCTCGCGTGCGCCCCCTATCTGTTTACAAAACACACGTTTTCAAACGTGGTTTTGCCTGCCCGTACCGCCGTATTTCTACAGTGGCAGGGCGGCAAGTGGTTAATATCTCCTAAATGTGCACCATTTAGGAGATATTCTCTCCTCATTTAATCCAGCGCATGCACTCTGAAGGAATGGCATACCCGTGCATGCGCGGGAGTGACGTCATCGCGGCCTGGCCTGTCAGAAGGCCGGAGCTTGCGAACCCGGAAAGAAGACGGGTGAAGATGGAAGCCTCTACAGCAGTGACAGAGCGCTGCTGGAGGGCTTCCTTTTATGGTAAGTTTTACATAATGTGCTAGTATGAAATGCATACTAGCACATTATGGCATGCCTTGCAGAGGATGTTTTTGGGGTTTTTTGTCTGCGGTTTACTAATCTCCACAAATATAGAATTTCCTGGTTCCAACACCTGCCTTTGTAGTTTTCTGAAGAGAAGGCAGCAGAGCAGAGAACCAAGAGACAAAAGACTGCAGACCCACTCAAAACCACTGCGAGCAGCCTGACAAGTTTGGCTGCAATAGGTTACATAGAGCCATGTTTTAGGGTCTATTTCCAGTGCTGTGTTTTTAATAAACATTTTAAAGGCCAAGTTCACTTTTGGAGCATGACGGCTTATAGTTCTCAATGGACTGCGAAGGTTCTGATATGCGTCCTCATAGTCCATTGACACTTCAGCTTTTAAACAGAAAGCCCATATAAAAGTATAGCAAAAGCTAGAGGACATGTCTGCAGGAGCCTTACGTTGCACCCGTGATCTAGTAATTGCGGGTGTAATGCTTTGCAAAAATATGTGCATTTTATTATGAAGGTCAACTTATCCTTTAAGAAAGCTTTATTCCTTTTTATGGAACACAATTTTAAAGCTGGCAATACGCTAGTAGAATTTCAGTAAAAATATTTTCTTTGTAAGAAAGAATTTTTCACACACCAGCACATTGGGTATGAGCAAGACCAACTGTAGTTCTGTTCTTGCACATGTGTATGCGCTTTTCCTGACAGGGGCAGAGCTTAGTATGCAGAGGTGGGTGGCAGCACCTATGGGGCATATTCTGTTTGGTGGTTCATAATGAGGGGGTGGGCTGTACTGAGGGAGTGGGCTGGGGGTGGGTCTATACTGAGAGAATAGACTGGGTAGGAGGGAGGGGTCTGTATTTAGGGGGATAGCTGGGAGGGGTCTGTACTGAGGGAGCAGTCTGGGAGGGGCAGGAGCATTATATTGAGAGGGTAGGCTGGGAGGAACAGAGATCTGTACTGAGAGTGCATGCTTGGAGGGGTGACAGTCTGTACTGAGGGGACATACTCGGAGGGGTGAAGATGTGTACTAAGGAAGTAGATTGGGAAGGGCAGGGATCTGTGCTGGGAGTTGGTGCTTGGGGGGTAGGCTGGGAGGGGTAGGGGTCTATACAGGGGAAGAAGGCTGGGAGTTGTGGCAGATTGTCATGAGTGGGCTGGCTGGGAGGGTGACAGTCTGTACTGAGGGTGTAGGCTGTGGAAAGGGTGACCGTACTGAAGGGGTATCCTGGGAGGGGGCGGTCTGTACTCTCATTATTAGCTCAATTTGACCAATTCTACCTTTCAGCAATGCCCATTTAGTGCAACAAATCATCCTCCCCTTCCAGGTGGTGCCCCAGGTTTTTCAGAACCTCAGCGACACCCCTGATATGCTCATCCATCCAGTTTGAGAGAGGCCTATGTCAGAACATTTTTGCTCTCTAGGAGACTGCTTAGCAGCACACTCACCTCTTGATATATCACCTTTAGGTTCCTAAAGACCACCTCTGGATTCACAATGACCTTCGCCATCTAATAAAACACAACACTTTAATATTAGGAGAAACTAGGATGGTTTGGGGTCAATTCTGAGTCAGTTCTATTTGGTGTTATTATCTGGTTCTAAAATGCAAAAAAGGTTTAAAATACATCTAACGTGGAAACACAAAATTAAATGTATTGAAGCTTACCAGTACTTAGATTTGGTGACTGCATTAGTCTCCATTCACTCTTGCAATTAGGGACAGACTACAAATTGCTTGTGGGAGACTTATATAGAGCAATGACAGTCTGACAGCGCCTGCAGCCATCAGCAGCCGTTCACGTTTTCATACATGCAACAATTACCCAAGAATGAACGCCCATGGATGCAACAGTTCGCTTCCAGGGCCAATCATCTGCAGATAATCACTGCATGCATGATAACATGCGAACAGCCACGACTGGTTGCTTTGTATAGGACTTTCTGCTCACAGCTGTTCACATAAACTCTGCTGAATCTCCAGCAGGAAATTGCACTCTGCCCAACTGCAAGTGTGAACAGGGCCTTAGTTCTCACTTTTCAGACTGGAAAATACCTGTTGATCCTACCAGAAATACAATGCGCTTATCATTTCCTGTGAGCTTAAAAGAAAGAAAACACGAGGAAGAGGTTGGTGCAGAAAGCACCCAGGATGCTTGGATCACACATTATCATGGATTTTCAGGAGAAAGAACCCAGCAGAAGATGTTTGCTTTCAAACTGTTTCTGAGTAGTTAAAAATCTGTATGCATTTGTCTGATCAGAAAGGGAGGAGGGGCCATGAACAGCATCTCTAATTTAGTCATCTCTGTTTATAAATTTCAGCTACTGAGCTACTGAGCTCTATTACCAGAAATTTTTTTTTTAGAACAGAAAATAAGAAAAGGAAAGCAGATGTGAAAAGGACTGTATAACTTCAACTGCTGGCTGAATACTAAATAACAGAATTTACAAAGTTTCATAGTTACCTAATTAAAAAATACATATTTTATCAAACAGAAAGGTCTTGAACTTTCTCGTGTGTGCAGATCACCTCTCCTAAAGTTGTTGTGCACCTCACTGGGAGCAACTGCACAAGCCAGCGTGCTCTGCAGGCCTCAGGTGGGACCTGTAACATTAGAATTCCTTATAATCACAATTCAGTATACTGACCGTGCTAACAGCGAATGGTCCATACTGGACAGGTTCTTCATCCAGCGGCCAATAGCGTTCACATTTTTTCTGCAAAAGAGATCCTGGTCATTTTATATCAAAAAATACCTAACAAAATATCTGAAGTCAGGGCACATTTATTAAATAACTACAAAGAACAGTGTTGATGTACAGAGAACCTTCTTTCTAATATCAGCCAATCAGAGTGTTTTCCTTGCAGTGCTAGTGTCTTATTTCTATTCTGACCAGGGATATAATCCTCACAAACAGCCTCTCAAATTTGCTGCAGCCAGTTGTTCTACTCCAACAGACAAAATACCATATGCATTCTAGTAAATTCTGGCTCTGCGTTCACCTGAAATGGCAGCAGTGTGTATTTGTAGGACTGTGGTGGGGACAATAGTGTGTGGGCTCTTTCATGGGGCCAGAACAGACGTGAATTGTTTGTGTAATTAGGGTTAGCAATTCCCTTTACCTTTCCATGTTCCACTTCTCGACATGCCATCACTATAACCTATAAGAAAACGTGACACATTGATGAGGATACCAGGCCTATATTATTATTTAAAACAAAGCCAAAGCTAAAACTATAATGTTTCCCCTTTTCAGAACTGAGCTCCAGGTATATATATATATATATATATATATATATAAAAAACACATCTAAACAAGATATATATATATATATATATATATATATATATATATATATACACACACACAGTATATAAAAAGTCATATAACGCTTAAACAATTTTTTTTAAATTTAGGTGTATTCACATTTGTGCAGAGACTGGTGTTTTTCAGCACTTAGGACGAGTTCACACTACCTGCTGTGAAAACATTTCTGTCTTTCTCTGTGTATAGTGATCACAGCTGGGTCACTGTGCCTTGCGTTTTTACAACACAAGGCACTGTTTTCCCTTTTTTTTCTCAACTTTAATGGAACGTCACAAAGTGACATCGCATTAATTTCTATTTATGGCAGCTAATCTGCATAGAAATGCAGAGTCGCACAGATGGCTGCAAAGCAAAAAAAAAAAAAGATATGTTGCTTTTTTCTGCACTGCTCTGCCCTGCAGTGAGGATAAATGAACAGGGCACACCGGAAAACCCTTATACAGAAAAATGCAGCCCTCTGCACTAGTGTGAACCAGCCCTAACCACTTGTCTACAGGGCACTTTCACCCCCTTCCTGCCCAGGGCAATTTTCATCTTTCAGTGCTGTCGCACTTTGAATGACAATTGCGCGGTCATGCAACACTGTATCCATACCAATATTTTTTATCATTTTTTGAGACATATAGAGCTTTATTTTGGTGGTATTTATTCACCACTGCTTTTTTAAATTTTTTGCTAAACAAGCTAAAAAAGGCAAAAAAAAGTTTTTCTAGTCTCTGTAAAAGTTTGTAAACAAGTAATTTTTCTCCTTCACTGATGTGTGCTGATGAGGCTGCACTGATAGGAGGCACTGATGGGCATTGAAAGACAGCACTGATAGGCAGCACTAATGGGTACTGACAGGCATCATTGATGGGCACTGAAAGGCAGCACTGATCGGCACTGATATGTGGCACTTATAGGTGGCACTGATGGGTACTGATAAACTACACTGATGAGGAGGCACTGATGGGCATTGACAGGCATCACTTATGGGCACTAATATGTGGCACTGACTGGCACTGATTGGCACCGAATGGCAGCAGTGGTGGGCACTGATAGGCAGCACTGACTGGCACTGATAGGTGGCACTGATTGGCACTGATAGGTAGCACAGATAGGTACTGATAAACTGCACTGATAAGGAAGCACTGATAGGTGGCACTAATGGGCATTGACAGGCATCACTAATGAGCACTGAAAGGCAGCTCTGATGGGCACTGATATGTGGCATTGATAGACAATGAATATTTGGCATTGACGGGTACTGATATCTGGTATTGATGGGCACTGATCTCCCAGAACAAGAGAGCTCCCGCTGCCCGTCATTTCCCTATACAGCAGGCGGGAGACGGTTAAAAAACATAGGTCTCTGCAAGGGCACACAGAAAAACATTGTTTTTTTATGTGCCCTGTTCATACTAAAATTGAGCTCTTGACTGTGGAGCAGTGTCCAGGCGCCAGAGCCATTTGTCTATCCGTGTGTTTCTATGTTGTGGTACATAGAAATTAATAAAATGGTACTTTTTGACATTTCCATACAGTAAAGAAAAAAAAGGTTAAACAGTGCCTGGTGCATCGCACTTTAGTTTTTGTTAAAACTTTATAGAAAAGTCACAAGCAATAATTCCTTAAGTTCTTTAGTAGAGATGAGCGAATTTCTCAAAAATTCGATTCGGCTGATTCGGCGAATTCCAGTGTGAAATTCGATTCGATGCGAATTTCTTCGCTACGAAGATGACTTATAAAAAGGGTTTCTAGGCTTCAGAGAGCCTTTAAATTAGTGCAGAACACTGTACCTTTAATTTAAATGCCCTTGGAGATGAGGAAAGAGAAGGAGAAGGAGAAGGAGAAGGATGAGAAGAAGGAGAAGGAGAAGGATGAGAAGAAGGAGAAGGAGAAGGATGAGAAGAAGGAGAAGGAGAAGGATGAGAAGAAGGAGAAGGAGAAGGATGAGAAGAAGGAGAAGGAGAAGGATGAGAAGAAGGAGAAGGAGAAGGATGAGAAGAAGGAGAAGGATGAGGAGAAGGAGAAGGATGAGAAGAAGGAGAAGGATGAGAAGAAGGAGAAGGAGAAGGATGAGAAGAAGGAGAAGGATGAGAAGAAGGAGAAGGAGAAGGATGAGAAGATGGAGAAGGAGAAGGATGAGAAGAAGGAGAAGGAGAAGGATGAGAAGAAGGAGAAGGAGAAGGATGAGAAGAAGGAGAAGGAGAAGGATGAGAAGAAGGAGAAGGATGAGAAGAAGGAGAAGGAGAAGGATGAGAAGAACCGAAGGAGAAGGAGAAGGATGAGAAAGAAGGAGAAGGATGAGAAGAAGGAGAAGGAGAAGGATGAGAAGAAGGAGAAGGATGAGAAGAAGGAGAAGGATGAGAAGAAGAAGGAGAAGGATGAGAAGAAGGATGAGAAGAAGGATGAGAAGAAGGAGAAGGATGAGAAGAAGGACAGTTCTGTGACAGTTTCTGTCTATTTCTGACAGTTCTGGGACATTCACTCCATACAGCTGTTTCAACCGCTGTATGGAGGGAATGTCATGGAACTGTCAGAGTCCCAGAACTGTCATTAATAGTCTATTTCTGACAGTTCCATGACATTCCCTCCATACAGCGGTTGAAACAGCTGTATGGAGTGATTGTCCCAGAACTGTCAGAAATAGTCTATTTCTGACAGTTCTGGGACATTCACTCCATACAGCTGTTTCAACCGCTGTATGGAGGGAATGTCATGGAACTG